GGCATAGACTCTCCTGTGATGAGAGATTCATCTATGGTTGAATGTCCAATTAAGACTAGACCATCCACAGGAACTTTGGAACCAGGAACAACTTTGAGGATGTCTCCTCGCTGCACCAGGTCAGCTGGAATCACCTTCTGCCATTTAACTTCTTTGTTCTCACTCAACTGCACTAAAGTGGCTTCCGTTGGTTGAAGAGACATTAACTTTGCCAATGCTTCAGATGTCTTTCCCTAAATACAATATACATGATGCTGTATAACTATTTCATTCATGCTCACATTCATTTCTTCATTAGTACTGACAAAAAGATAACTCACTTTGGCAATGCTCTCTAACCAACGCCCCAGTGAGATAAAGGCTATCAACATGGGTGGAGTCTCAAAAAATGTCTTTGGACTGGTGGCTTCTTGCAAAAAAATAGCTGCTATGAGTACAATCGTTGAGTAGATGTATGCAATAGAAGTTGCCAACATAATCAGAACATCCATGTTGGCATTGCCATGCTTCAAAGCTTTCCAAGCCACCACATAGAATGGGTAGCCACCCAAAAACTACAATAGAACACAAAGTTATTACAGAATGGTACCTCTTCTATCAGTGTGGGTAAAGGAACATGCCATGAATCAAAATAAGATATCTTACTTGCACAGGTGTAGCAAGAATAAATAGTATTAGGTTTTCATAGGAGAGGCCAGGAACAAGTACTTCATGGTTATGTGAGAGCATGAAGTACATCATGAGAACCATGGATGGGACAGCAAACACAACAGCAAAGCAGAATGTCCTCCTCCACTTTGTGATCTCTTCTTGGTTGTCTAGCATTGAGCGATGATCACTGTCTTTGGCCAAACCTGCTTCATATCCCAAGTCCTATGAATCCATAACAGAACAAAGCATTATGATGTGGCCATACATCTTCAATGTCAAACCAGGGCATGAAAGCAAACCTCAATCATGGAAATGATGTCCCTTGGTCCCATAATATCTGGATCATACCAAACCATCCCTGAATGTGTGGATAGGGCCACAACAACATCTTTGATGCCCTTTTTACTCTTCAGGTTTGATTCAATACCATGGACACAAGAAGAACATGTCATCCCTCGTATCTGCAGTAAAAAGGAAAACCTTGTAGATGTATATATATCATGTGTGGCAGTTGCATCTCAAATAGACACTAGACATAGGCTGGGCAATGCATAACCTAGAGAAATATGGAATATACAGAAAATTCAAAACCATATAAATTCACCATTTTCTCCTCTTCCATTAGCTTTGTTTAAGGAAAAGATTCCTAAAGATCTAGTATAAAATTCTTGCATCATGATCACTTTCAAACCCACAAAACTGAAGCCTTGTTGAGGTATGACAGCAAGTAATGTCCATATACACTTGGCCTATATGTCAGCAAATTACTTAGCTCCCAGTTCTCCTTTTTCACATTTCATTTACTTTCCTCATTAATTGACAGCCAAGATACTAGTATTTCTTGCCCTATGAGAGCTTCGCCCCTACTGATTCTAACACATTAGCATAAAACATGAAATGAACCAGTCTTATATGATTTCATTGGGCTTATAATAGAGATGCATGATGTCATCTAACTCATGTATATTTAGATTCGTGCATGAAGTTGTGATCAAATTATTCACTGTAAGGTTTTCATGAACCAGATTGTGAAATATGCCAAAGATTTATGAGTTAGGATGCCAGGTCTTGAGGTGAAAAGGAGAGAGAAGTGGAGACAGTCTATGGTCTAGTTACATCACTCATTTAACTCTTAAAGGAGTCTTCAGACTTCTGTCTCTTTTTTAGGGAAGACAGGCAATAAGATCACACTTCCCCTTTGACTTCCCTGCTTGACAACAGTGGGCATTCTATGGCGGGAGAGGGGTGAACATATGGCAGATTAAGGATTTAGGAATTCTTGATGAGATGCCTGGCAAGTACCAAGAAGTCCAAACATCTGGCACTGTTGTCCTCCAAGCCACTTACAGAAGTCTTGACAAGAAGTGATACCAGAATATCAATGAGCTACCATTAAAGAGGTCATCCAATGTGACAGAGTTTGGTCATATTGACTGTACTTACTGGCATTCATGATGAAGTATGAGACAATACAATACAATAATATTCAAGAGCCTCAGTCATCAGCAAGTCTAATACTGTGATGTGGAGAAGACTTCAATTCTATTTACTTTCTGCCAACAGTTATTCAGCTAAAGCTAAACTTGCTTGGTTAAAATCAAAAGCTATTTACAAGAGCTGAATGAGTAGTCAAGTCTTATGAGACATCTGCTTCTTCCTAACTAGTATAATCCAAGCATATCTTTATTAAAGCACATCAGACAAGAGTTCATACATGACATGAAGTAACATCCTAGCAGGAACGATATATATGCCACTTTCCTTCAATTGTAATCCCTGATTAAATTGTTATCTCTGAGCCAGACTCAAAACAGCTAGGTATGCTAACCTCAGCTAATCACAGGATCAAAAGGCCAATAAAGAATGGCATACTCTTAAAGAAGCTGAATCCAAAAGCAGAACTTGAGACTCACCCACAATCGGACCTCTCCATCATTACACAAGGTATCCTCCATCACAGAGCTGGGGTAGCCAAAATCAGAGACTCCACTTGCAATCTGTGCAGGCAGAATGACTGATGCATCATAACGAACCTCAGCCTTGGCAGCCATGAGGGACACCAGGATGCTGTACACACCTGAAAAGAGTCATATTGGATAAATAAGATGTATCAGCAGTGAAAATGATAAAGGAAGGAAGGAAGGTCAATGATACAGTCAGCACTTTAGTAAGCTGCTGTATCATTCCATAACTAAGAGACACTGGGAAACATCAATGCCTATCTTCTCTTATCTCTCTATGTATTGGATTTCAGTTACACCAAAATGTGGTCTCTCCCATCAAAACAAAAATACCTGGAACTTGCCTGGGATCTTTTTTGCATGATGCTCTATGGCAGCAACACATGATGAGCAAGTCATGCCTTGAATCCGGATGAAACACTTATCTGAGTTCTCAGTCAGGAAATCATCATGCAAGTCTAATGCAGTGAGGGAGCCAAACTTGGGGCTCAAATGATTCTTGCTGAATTGAAAATGGGGGCTGAAAGCCACTTCTGAAATTAAAGATATATACAAACAAGTCAGTCATTTCTGCTGAGAAACACTCAGCAATGCATCTCACTAGAATTTCCATTCTTCATTCCTTACCAGACCCTGAAGGCAAAGACTTCACAGGGAAAGAGTCAAATGATGGAGAGGACAAGAGCTTGGTAGGAGATTCTTTGGTATCACCTGCTGGCCCATTAAGGATGGGTATGCATTCAAAACCCTGTTGCAATGTTGCCTGAAAACCCATTTCATCTATAGCATCACACACTGCTGATGGAGTCATCATGCTTGAATTGTAGTCTACTGTCCCTTCTTTCCTATTCAGATTCACTGAGATCCTGACAATCCCTGGAAGGGTGGAAATCTTCTCCTCAATGCTCCTCACACATGACATGCATGTCATACCTTCTATGAACACTTTGCACTGAAGATTGGCAAGTTGACTGACTCTAGTATCACAGAATATTTCTTCACTTAGAAGTGAGGCTTCAAACCCCATATCATCGATCTGGTCTCGTACTTCTTTGGCAGAAATGAGGCTTGGGTTGTACATCACAATTCCTAACTTTTCTGCAAGGTTCACTTTCACTGTCTTGATTCCAGAAAGAGTTCCAAGTGTTCCCTCGATGTTCTTCACACAAGACTGACAAGTCATTCCCTCAATCCTTACCTTGCACTCCATAACTTTGCTGTCTTCGGGTTTCCTCATTTCTGCTTTAAATTCCATATAATCTATCTATCATTTCTCTGAAACACTATCCATTCATCATTAATAATAAAATTAGCAGTTCAATGCAAATTCTAAGACAAAAGTTTATCAAATCTCATGTTAAACCTCTTTCCATTCTTTTAAAATAACTAAGATGATTTAATTTGTTAGAATGCTCTTGCTGAAGCGAACAAGTACCAATTTTGCAGGCAGGGATATCTCAAGAAAAACCCCACCATATCGTAGGCCTAGGATAAGTCATTATTTATCGATCGAGAATAAGACCTTAACCTCAATTTATCTCAATCCCTAGCTTTGATCTAGGTCAGCAGTGACAGATCAAGGCAAGGCTGCAAACATTCCATCGATATGTTGAGAGACATAACTGGATTGCATTGCGCGAGGGACCTATTCACACATGGCCCCTGCTGTTCCTGAAGGCCGCCATGGCATGACCGAATGAACGTAATATGCGACGTCTGAAAGGGCGCATGGCAATAGAATCCTCTAGATCCATCTACCTTAGAAAGGCGCATGGCCCACATGAACTTCGACCCTGTGGTGCATGGCTGCACAACCGCAGTGGCAAGTCATGCTAAGCTCTTTCTAATGTGTTTTCACTTGACTCGGGCACTCATGCATGAGGTACATCGTCCAACTTGAATTGAGAAACTCTGCAATGCAAAACTGAGCACTTAACAAACTCACTCTATGTGCCATGCCGTCGAAATTCTCATAGAATACATCAATTCGGATCTTTTTTTTCAAAAGAAATCCTATGCTTTTGCCTCAAAATATTTCCCGTAAGTCCCTGGTGCTGTTTCCAAAGGCAGTGTCGGGTACGAGCGTTCATCACACGGACTATCTTACTGTCGGATACGGAAGCTCCGCCTAACCAATAACAAACGGTATCTATCATAGCGATTGTTACGGAAAGAGAGATAATCCAAAGGATAACACGCATTGGCGTAGCTGTAACGAAGGAAGCGTTAATAGATGAGCAGTGGGCGAACGATGGTGGCTACCTCGAATCGACTGTAGGTTCTCCGCAGAAGGAGATCATTATTATTATTTATCACAAGTAAACTTTCATAATTTATTTAAAGCCCCTAATGCAAATCAATCGTTCAAGGTTGAGGATCCAGACGAGATGAATTCTGAGGTCCACCTCAAGGATATAATCACATCATTTTTTCCTCTATACGAGGATCAGTCAAGGATAACTCATGGAAATTATTTAAATAGAATCATGACGCCAGTGTACATACACCAGCAAAAATTTCTTAACCTCATTCTCGTAGACTGTATAGTGTCATCTTTCCATTCAATTTTTGGACGAACTATAATGGTGAATATTTTCCTGCAGCCGGAGTTCTGCAATGCGCTGCTTAAGCTCGCTCCTTCTTCTCAACAATATAGACACTGCGAAGCGTCTGTGACCAGAAACGCAACCAGGGCTTTTTCTCCCCATTCAGTTTCATAGTCCCATGCCCAGCAGTTCGAATAGGAAGAGAAAGTCCTGGTTGCGCCATTATCCAGGGCCACAGCCCACCTCGAGGATTCAACGCCAGCAGCACGATTATCCGAGGTTTCATTGACCTGGGAAAGGCCCGAAGTGGGGATCCTATGTACTATACGCAATTGTCCCCTGAATTCATCCGTAGGGATTATTCGAGATCTTAATTCCAATGCTCACTCCTGAGAAGTTTCAGCCGAAAGAACAACATGTCTTGGTGATGGATGCTGCGTATATAGAAGCGAAATACTAACGAAATACTAAGTTAAAAAAATACTAAGCGAAATGTAACGCAAAAATTAAGGGCACGGCTAGTTCATTATTTCTTCTCTTCAGCATATCTAGCTCTGATGAAGACCTTGGGCTATCTGAATCAAGCCAACTGCAGGATTTGTTAAGCAGGGAGTTTCCTGTCTGAACAAACGATTGGCGCAACCGCGTAAACATCATCTCCTAAGAACGACACGACGGCAATAGTAAATTAATTTACCGAATCGAAGGGGAGGGAAATCAGTACAGCACGCAAGTGTGGAAACCGGCCGTAGACGAAATGCCCTCGCCCTGCCAGAACACTAAAACGGGCACACTTTTGGAAGCATTCGACCACTCGCCCCACGCGACTGCTCGTTGCAGATCCGGGTCGACGGAGCTCTTGGAGATTCTCAGGTGCTCTTTTGCACACGGAACGAGCGAGAGGAGCGAAACAGGGAAAAAGCACTTCTCTCCCGGCTTCACTTGAGATCACAGGCATCGATTAGATTACACGAGGGCAGAGTCAAGACCCTCAGAGTCCACTGACCATCTTGCACTCTTGACGCGACCGTTATGAGGATCCCCCGCGTACAAGGGCGGCACCAAGCCACACACTGTGCCTATTTTGGACGGCATAGGGTGTGGCCTGGTTCTGCCCTCGACAGCAGACGAGACGCAAATCTTCGTAGACTCAGAATGGAAGCAGCGACGTGCGCACGGGTGAGGGAGGCTCAGGGGACTCGAGACTCCCCGCTTCCTGTCCCGTTCATCATTCAAATGCTCTGATGATGATGAGCCCCCATTCCTAGCCATGCGCACGCCACTCAATGGAAGATATTGCATGCCAGGTCTCATTGAGATGGAAATGGAAACATGATGATAATGAAAAATACATCATGACGATAGTTATAAAACAACCTGTATTCCTCCTATTGACTTTGTCTATGATCCTCAAGGCGGCATGTCATTCTCAAGTGGCTTTTGAGCATGAGAAACTCTTGGTCTGGACGGGAAAGTCACCGAACTTCTTATCGACCTGAAAGTGTGCGTCACTGGAATGGAGTTAAAGTCAAGGTCAGAAAAGCAGTGGAATGAATTCCGCGAAGAGGAGTCGGACTGGGTGCAGTCGCAGTCCCTGGCCTCGTCGATATCCTCAGGGTTGGAAGCCGAATCGGATCTCAAAAACTCCGTAACGGTTCTCTGCTCGGCATCGTTCAACAGTGTCGCATGAATACCATTATAAAACGACATGAACCCATACTGTTCTCGGGAACGCAATCCATGACATAGTATAAAGAACAGGAAAACAGCATGACCAACACTATTATAATAAGCGGAAACTCGCCCCACAGAAGGCTCTTCACTTCAAAAGGAGATTTTTTTTTCATTCTGGAAGAGGAAGCTGATTGAGATGAAGGATTGCGATTGTAACAAGCACGCGTTTTTGTTGTTCATAGTCGTTTGTGCTGGAAAATATGATATGGAAAAGCCAAGAGATCAATTTCAGTTTCTGGTACGAGATGAGCCCACGGCGAACCGAAATAATCGTTTGGGTTCCACGTCTTTGCACGAGGTTTTTTACCTGTGGCATACTTTATTTTAAAAGGCCACCGGAAGAGAGAAACAGGCAAAGGTAATTACGACCCAGACAGACTCCACCCACTCACTCTCTCTCTTCCACTCTAAAAACACGACCTAAACACGGCTTCAATGCAATTGAAGAAGAGGAAGCACTTCATGATGGCAAGCACGACCTAATCACTGAGGAACTATCTCTCGTTTCGTAAGTTGAGGAAATACCGTTCTTGCAATATCGTAGTTGTTTCAAGGACGTAGATTGTTACCAAGCATATAAACTGACTCTTAACATGGAAAGGATTGCGGGCTGGTGGCCTTGAGGAACCGGAAAGGGAGGAGGCAGATTCCATGCTTTTCTTCCGTTCAGTGATGTCCCGAGGAGACCGAACGTGGGAAATGGACTTCAGGGCAGATTCCCCTACACTGCTCGCATGGTCCGCTGGGGGTGTGTCACCAATATTTAAAAAATCCTGACAGGTAATCCTACTAATCGGATAGAACTACTCGTAAACCTAATTGGCAGATGTAATTGGGATCGCAGACAGGAGATTCACGCAACCAGCGAAGTGCAATAGTAAGTACTTCTTAATCCGCACAATCCAGATTTTTTTATTATAAAGTAGTTGGTTACGAGAAAAAACAGGCTCTCTCAAGCCCTGATGACTTCAGTCACGGTAAGTCCATGAATAACCTGAACGAGTCCAAAATTCTAATATCGAAAACAAAGTTTGGAGGTTGTAAAATGATCCATACCGCCCCACTGTGTATTCGAACGAGTTTCTTGCGTTCGTTGTCTTATCAGACGAAACCTCTGTTGTTATCTCAGTAAAAGTACGCTCCAATCTTTATGAGCTATAAGATTAATATTGGCACTGTGAATCATGCCTCAACGTATATTAATCCATCGCGGCGTCGGTGAAACCACGAATCACTGACTAGCCGTGAGTCTCGCGATGTTCATCGACACGCAACGAAACGCTCGTCGAACGCAGAGACGCGCGTCACCGCCGCGTGGAAGGAAATCACCTTCTAACACCATGCGATGCTTTCCGAGGTCTGCGGTGAAGCCTGCAGTCGGTTTTACCTCCTTTCTCGGCGAGCAGAGGGACCTCGACCAGACCGCGATGGAGAAGATAAGGGAGTCCTTGACCGGAATGTCATCTAGGTCGAAAGCACTCCCGCTGCTTGCCGAGTCGTCCCGACTGTATCTAAACACAACTCGAGATAACCGGGTGGAGGGGGGGAGGGTTGATTGCAATGTTTGCCTTGCCGGGAGTTGCGACTGCTTCACTCACCTGAGGAGGGAAAACGAATGGATTTCGAGTGGGAAAGGCCTGGTTTAAAAACGGGGGAAGGGAGTGGGGGTGAGAGAATGGCAGAGGGGTGTGGAGACTCAAGAATGAAATTCTCCTTTAGAGCTTCAAGCAAATTATGCAGGTGAAAGATACGAGTAGAAAGAGCACAGGAACAAAGAAATGGTAAAAGTGCATGAAAACAGCCCTCCGCCCCCGCCGCATCTCAGGCTCACCCGAACATCCTCCGCTTGTTAATCAGAGAAGCGGCGGGTAAAGGAGGGGGGGGGGGGGTGCAATGAACTGATCTGTTTTCGGAGGACGAAGAAGAAAACGTTCGAAAACCTGCTGGCCTGGAAAAATTCACGGGAAGTGACTCATGTCATCAGCCGTGGGGAAAATGCCTCTGA